AATTGTTTAATTATTGTTGGGCATTATTATTATTGTTACTATTATTAATAATATTATTATTATCATTATTATTACTATTATTATTATATTTGAATGAGAATCAGATTTCAGCAGTCTTTGGTCAATACAATCGTGCGATTGGCACAAGATTTTGTGGGCGCAAATAATCTGAACTTATTGCTACCAATTGGACAGTTTGGTACACGTTCAACGGGTGGTGAGGATTGCGCGAGTGCGAGATATATTTACACGGCACTGAAGTTGGCATTTAGTACAGTATTTTCGTTGAAAATTGCGAGTTCATTAGCACATTCCGAGATATCTGATGAATTCTGAACACTTTTGCGGATATTTTCGGAAAATGAGAGAATTTTTCGCAGAGAGTGGAGATGATATGTTCGAAATGCGCATTGTTGGATGGTAATATTAAAGTTGAAATTGCATAATTTAGTCCGTTGACTCGTTGGATTTTTCCGCGTGCTGACGACAGTGTATTGAAGTATTTGGAGGAGGACAATGTGCGTATTGAGCCACAGTGGTATGCAGCTTTGTTTGATTCGTGCATGACTTAATTCAGCGCCTTCGATTTTTGATATTCGGATGATTGTTGAATTGAGGTACTGTCCTGTGATACCGATGATTTTGGTGAATGGCTGCGAGGGCATTGGAACAGGATGGTGCACGAAAGTGCTGCCATACAATCCGAAAGAAATCATCAGAAATGTGCTGCGCATGATTGACGGAAAATCGCCGCAGAAAATGGTAGATTTTTCGGATAGAAGTAGTCACTACCCGTTCTGATTTTGATTTGATTGCGTTCATTTCTTGTTAACGTTCCTGATTTCACAACTCAAATTGTGGCATTGTTTGGTTGATAGCTTATTCTATTGTTCAGTTACCCTTCTATCGTAATTTCACGGGAACAGTGAGAGAGACAAGTGATCGCAAGTTCGAAATCTCTGGTGTTTGTACACTGAAGTCATCGCGGAGAAATGCGCGTAGCTTGCAGGTTCAGGTTTTGTGTGTTGATAGCGTTGTATTTTGTGCGATTCTTGAGAAATTTTAAAGTGATTCGGCAGTTTTGTGTTGAGTGGTTCATTTCATTTTGCTGTTCTAGAACAGTTCCCATTTGAACTTGTTTTCCTTGAAGCTTAATTTGACCTTTTTTGATTGAATGATATAATAAACCACAGAAAGGAACAGAAAGAATGTGCAACAAAATATGATCTTTTAGCTGTAAAAGTTGATTATAATTCATATCAAATGTCTGATTTTGGCTAATTATACCTGAATTGCACTCGTTTAATGTGGTTTTTAGGTGGAAGTAAGCGAGTTACCGGTCGGAATTTGGACACAAAAGTATAAGGAGAAAGTTTTGGATGTGTTAAGCCGAAATAATATCATAACGTGAGTTCATAATTTGATGGTTTTTTGTTTTGTTTTTTTGTGGTTAGCGTGTAAACCTGGCGATTTTTACAAAAAGCTGAGTGTTTGTGATAATTTTTCAACAGAAAACTTCAATTGCATGCCACATTTCATTCAATCGACCATTTCAACTAACGAAGAATCTCAATCGTGCGAGAGTGTCTTTTGTAGCTTTCCTTCAATTATTTGTGCATTTTTATAGCAATTACAAGGAATTGCATACGGAAGATTCGGTGAAATTTTTGCTGGAAATTCCAAAGGGCACACCAAATGGACTGTGCTCGAACAACGCCGCCGTGTCAGCTGATGAACGAAAACAAAAACTGCGTAAAGCATTAAAACTGGACAGTGTGGTAGGCACTTCGACAATGGTAAGAAGGCGTTTGTTGGGTTGAACAGTTGATTGCGTTGTTTTTATTTGCAATTTCATTTTCATTTTCGTCAGCAAAAAGTTTTGAGTTGAGGCGAAAAGCGCAAATCAATGAAATTCACCATTATCACTCATTGTCAACAACGGCCAGCAGCCATTCGGCACAGAAATTTCAAAGCGATTCGAAATAAAAGCATCGGATGGATGTTGACCGGGTTGATGATGCCCTAACCAACTGAGCGATATGTTAGATGATATTTTTTTATGTTGTACCACTGAATTTTTGTGTGTTCTTTCTTCAGGTACTGTTCGATGAGCGAAACACTCTGCGAAAATTCGATGCAATCGAAGAGATTTTCGAGGTATTTTTTGAAGTTCGTCGTCGGAAGTATATCGAACGACGTGAGCATCAGAAACGTCAACTGCAGGCCAAACTGAGATTCTTTGAGAATCAGGTTTGGGATTCTATCTGTTCATTATGATATTTCAAATGAGTCTGTTGCAAATTTTTGATGGTTGGTTTCTCAGTCATAGAGAAACAAGAATTACAGTTTTGCACACATAATTTTTTAAACTCATAATTTGGAGGGAGCAATTTCATTTCAGCGATATCCACGAGAATTGATAAATTTGAAGGATATCAAAAGAAATTGACGTGGAATGAATATTGGTTAGCAAAAGAAAGTATCAACGCTTTGAAAAATAATGCTGAAATTGTAGTATCGCTTCGTTGAAATGCTATTGAATAGAGAGCTGATAATCGAAGGGAAAAGTCGTCAACATATAGAGGAGGCTTTAAGAAGCAGAAACTTCGAATCTGATCCACTTCATACGCAACAGGTTGATTGTTGAATTCACTCTCGTAAATCAATGTAATGATTTTTGAATTGGTTTCCAAATGAATTTTTTTTGCGTACGTTGCGAAAGCATTCAAATTTGATTTCAATAGATCGAATTCCAGTATAAATTCAAGATCATCGGACTTAACGCTTGAATTTTGTGGAGTCTCACGAGCTGATTTTAGTGATAATGAGGGCGATTACAGGATGATGATGTTAATAATAATAATGGTGGTGGAGGTAACAAATCAAGCGCTGAATTTGGGTATCTTCTCGATATGCCGTTGATTCGGCTGACTAGTGAAGAGGCAAAATCGTTGTGTGAAAGGCGTGATTCGAAGAGAGTCGAAATGGATCAGTTGGAGCATATAGATTGGAAAATAATGTGGCGTGATGATCTTCAGAATCTGCTTGCGGTAAGTGGTTGCTTCGTAAAGTGGTCTTTTTTATAGGTAATAGCATATGTTCTTGTCATATTGCAAAATCGTACTTTAAATTAAACTCACCATTCATTTCGGGTGAAGTTTCCTTGTTGGAGTATTTCACTTATTGTTAGCCAACAATGAATTAGATTTTTTGTGGAATGAAGAAACGATTTCAAATTATTGTTTCGTTTGTGGATTTATCAAAGTTCATTTTGAATATTGAAGCAAGATTGAGTATATTCTGATTGTGAGGATAAATGCATTTTTCGTATGAAATTTGTACGTTCAACTTTTATTATTGATTTGCTGTTTTTGCAGCAAACTTTCGTTCTTTTTCAAAATTGTGACAGATTATTTTTTTGCAGCAAATGCAAAAAGCGGAACGGAAACGCAAACATATACAGTGATTAATTTTGTGACACGGATGTCGGATGCAAGTCGGCGATATACGGGAATAATCTTTGGATTTTTTGGATTTTGAAAATTATTATCTTTGTACAACATAGTAACACAAATTTATGAATGGTGATGGTAGCGACAGAATCTAAAATTTGTAGGCACCGTAATGAAATGTCACACCATCAGCAGTGATTTTTTTCAGTTAAGCGTAGACTTGGGCTGATGCTGATGAGGAGGACCTAAAATGAAACTTCAGACCTTTTGCACTTAGGTGGTTCTCTTTCACATCACGAAACTGAGAAATTCTTGAATTACCTACGAGGTACACTTTATAAAAACTCACCATTAGCTGCTGTAGATGAAACATTATTTGTATCATACTGATTACGGTTGTTCTCGGGTCATACCATTCATATCGTTCATAGTTCTAAGAAGGATCAGAAAACATTGTGGAACGTATTGGGATGCTTTTAATAAAGAAACAGAATGTATCAAGTGATACTGAAGAATATTCAACCTTTTACTGAAAGCAGTGT